ATATCCACCAGCTTGATCAACAAGAAATCCAGATAACATAGAGATAATTAAACTCTCACACTTCTCCCAAAAGAAGGCATTCATTCTTAATTAACTTAGGGCTTCTACCACAAGCTCCAAGACGTGAAAAGAACCAAAACCTCCTTTGGTCTTCAAACAACTACCCTTCTGCACAAGAATAATTTTCTCCAAGCACACTCCTCGAATAACCAAATGCCACTATTTGGTTAACTCAGCTTCCTTCAGAGCTCCAGAAAATCTTCTGATCCACCAATGGAACATAATCTTCAAGTTACATATCCTACTTGCTCCATAGCAAGGCATCTTAGATACACCAAAAATTAGACCTGTAACATCTACTCCTTCTCGCAGCTCCCACAAACTGCATGAGATAGACCCATTTTGAAGCATTAATTCCATCTATTTCTGAGCAGATCAACTTATCTTATGATGATGCGCCACAACATCAACTAAGACCCTAAAGTTTCTGCTTGATGTCACAACATCTGATCAGACATCCAACTGGAGAGTTCAGTCCTTCATTCTTCCACTTAGACGAACCTCATCTCTATAATAGAACAAGAGTTCCATGTTCTCATAGAATTGAGTAATGATATCAAGTTTGAGTAGACAACCTCCATCCTGCATTTCTGTACAAACACCTTGAAGAGTATTTGCTTTAAGAACTCATCTTTAGAGAAACCAAACATGCCAAAGCTTAATTTTTCATAAAAGATTAGTCACACAAGATCTTTACAAAAGGAATCCCGTTTTCCTTAAGTAGAGACTTCTTCAGAAAGTCAGAGATAGCTGCCATTTATCCTTGACCTCCAAGATGAGAAAGATCACATGCTCATATGCACCTAGATTATAAATAAAATGATCCAAGCAGTGCTATTACCAACACCATATTCTAGACAAGTTTCTTGCCAGGAAACTTTCTAGATAAATATCATATGTTTCTAGTAGAAATTGGAATGCACCTGCTGCACTCCAGTACTCCTAGATCAGAAATAAACTGATCAAAGAAAAATGTCTTCATCTTCACTTCCATCAGCACTACATTCTAGCCTAGTTTCTTGCTAGGAAACATTCTAGTAAGATTTTGTGCCTTTCCAACACCAGAATAAAGACAGATCCTACCACACACGTGTGTGGTACCAAGATCATCAACTACATCTCTTTTGATCTAGTGATTCACTCCTTGAATCAACATGATTCTGCACACATACTCCACTGTCAAGATGATTTAACATCTGATAGAACATCAGTTCCTTATCTTGGTTGTACCCATTCTCCAAAGAACAGATCCTTGAGCAGATGCAACTAGAGATGTTGCACTTCCTGATGTACCAACTTGTCACCAATAATCTTGTACTCCAAAATACAAGGATAATCAATTAAGTATTTGTGAATTCCACAAATAGAAATTGATCTTAAATCCTTGTTCATAAAACCATACATCCTATAGGATATATGATCTACCAGATATCAACACAAATCAAGAATTCTTATGTCAACATCTTTCTAGTCAAACAACATGTTAAGACATCAAGACTGTCACCCTTGACTCAACCTGCCTATGACTTTCCTTTGCTGATAGAACCCTTGCAAGTCATGAGTGGTGAAAATAAATCACCTCCCACTATCTTCAAGTTGAATAACATCCATCAGCACCGGAGATCTACAGAAATTCATCTTCAGTAAGAAAACCAGATTATCCTTCTGAAAGAACTCTTAAACACGACCAGAGATGCCTTTATGAGTGGACTTGAGAGAAATCTCAAGTATCTTTGGCAACTTAGTCGCAAAGTGCATTTACCAATTTCATAGATCATGAATTTGATAAATACGACTTCAACTCACCTTCTCTGCAAACTGACTTCAAGGTACATGATAAAACCAAACTTCCAAGTACCAAGTCAACAATAACAGATATCAACAAACAACTCTCTTCATTCCATTACTCCCAACTTTGGAATGACTAGAGCTTTCAGAAACGGTGATATCTTCAAGAACATAAATCAATAAGCAAAATCTTCCATAATCTTTCTTCTATCACAACTCTAGAATCAAATAAACACCAGAGTTCTTCAATTAGAAACATATGCAGCAGAACCACCAAAGAACAACTTCAATATGCCCTAGACAAGATGTCAAAACATCTTTTAAGACACCATACAGAAGAACTAACCACTCTTCCTGCTGTTATTGTAGAAACTCCTCAGAAAACTTGAACAACCATCAGTAGTTGTTACCTTTGAGTCATAACACTCATCCCATCCATTAATACCCTTGAGTATGTTCGAGTGAATGATCTGATCTCTCAAACTCCTCGTTATTTAAACCACCAAAAAGTATCTCCCAAGATCTCATCCAAAAATAGACAGGATGTCTGCTTTGATACCAATTGAAGTTATGGAATAGCAGATCACATATGTCCTACAACATGTCACGACATTGTTCTTTGTATAACTTTAAAAACAAGGATAACATGAACAAGCTGATACTCTGAATATCAACAACAGAAGCAAGACAAATGTTTCGACATCTGTTACAACATGTTAATCAATACTGAACTGTAAATTGCAAAATGATAAATAACACGCAATATGATGACACAGTTCGGTGCAAATCACCTACATCTGAGGGCTACCAAGCCAGGAAGAAGAATCCACTATTAATAGTATAGTTTTATATAAACAACCTTTGATTTACCTATCACCACCCAATGAAAACTTTATCATTAGAAGTCACATCTAATTTATAAGAAAAACCCATCTCACTCCCTATATCACAACCTGTGATATCTAACAGTTATAGTCACAATAAATGTATCATCCTACTTAAAAGACACCTCTTTCAATACAAAGTTCAGCCAATCTTCCTTGACTAACAAGCTAACTTAGATTTGTTTAAAAGCTTCATCCAAGAACAATATAAAATTCATTACCTAAAGGCTTCTGAATCTGTATAAACCCTATGTCTACCACAATGTATCAAACCGGTACAAAAGGAGACTTACAACAAAAGAGCTAACGACTCTCAAAACCTTAAACCCTTATTTTCTACTTTACAAGTATTACACAAGGTTCAGTTCTTTCCCTAGGTCTAAGTCTTCCTTTTATAATCTTCTGCTGTCCATGGGCTTCAAATCTTTTGTCAGATGATTCTTTGATCCACTGTTGTGATCGCTTCTTGAATCTTGCAACAAATTTAAAGCAACCTGCTAAATCAGTTCAGGATGTCGAGTCTTCATGCTAGGACATCTCATTCGACATCTTTGTTATCTGCAAAATTCTTCATGTTTGATCATCTTGTTCTTCATCAGTTCAGGAGCTTTCACCTGTTTGAAATACCTGACCTCTCAAGTGAGAGAGTTTTTATGATGCCCCAACACTTGGTCATTGGTCCCTATTTTCGGAGCGAGATATCCGCTCCCCAAAAAATAGGTAACTGCCCAAAACTATCCGTTAGGATGAGAACAGGTGCTCGAAACTAGCCGTTGTCACAGGCAAGAGCGCGGTCGCGGACACAGGCGTCGTGACGAGCAAAAATGTGACGAGGGGCAGCTGATCCTGGGAGTCAGCTGGCCAGCCTTACTCGACAGAGGGGCAAAGGAGAGAGAGAGCTTCACTTTGCCCTTATCTGTCAAGGTTAAGACTATTGGATCGTTTTGGGTGCATAAGTGAATTAGACCATGTCTAACCATTGAGTTAGTTTGAAACAGAATTTAACCTCAGTTAAATTTTAGACTAACATAAAATTTTGTCAAAAAATCTATTATTTTTTATAATGTAATTTAATACATTTTATGAAACTATGAAAAAAATTAATATTGTTAATATAAAATTATCTATTATTATTTTAGATTATTGTATATTTGGATGTTATTATTATCGATGACAATTTAAATTTTAAGATTATTCATAACTTAGAGATATTGACGATTTAGAATGATACAATGTTAAAAAAATTAAACATAAGATAGACATTGATTAGAAAGATAAATGATAGGTACTTAATTTATGCACGGGATAAATTCGTTTGTCTATATTGAAATTTTTTTAAATGTATTGTAGTTTCTACCTTTGGATAATTTTTATTTCACTATATATCCAATGTTTTATAGATCGAAAGAAATTATAGAAATAACAGTGCCATAAATTAATGAATATATAGTAAAATTATTTATGACCATATTTGACTATATATTCAACAATTTGACTGGAAATAATTTATAAACCATTTTTTTTTGAAGGCAAATATTTATAAGGCATTTGACTACATTGAATATATTATCAAATAAATATTATTGTCTATTTAATTCACATGCAAAATAGGAATACTTAATATGGTCATTTTTATTATTAAATAATTATTTAAATACTATGTTTATTAAATATAACCGATTGAGTAAAAAAGTATAACATATAATTATACAATACAAAAATTATTATTAAAAACGGTAATATTAATGAAAATTTTGCAAAGATTCTACATGAAATATGAATTTATTCTTTGAAGTTACAATATCGAATTCTGAATATTAGGACAATTCATTTTTATGCATCGATGACACTATTTAAGTTATTTATTATAAAAAAATTATATTATTTAAATTTCAATAAAAAGAAATTTTGTTAAAAATATTTTAGTTTAAACCTAGTGGACTATTTTCAAAATAAATTTATAAATAAATTATTATTTTTACATTAATTCCATTTTATAAAAACCAAACATGTTTTAGGCTCATTGTATTCTATCTATATATAAAGTAACATTTTAGTTTTCTAAATTCTATATGATTCATTGAATTCTATAAAATTTTCTTATTACATTAAGCGCAATTTTATAAAAAAATAATTATTACTATTTTGAATACATTTAGATAATTTTTTTGAATGAAAATTGTATTTATATATCATGCTTTTGTGCATTAACAATACTCATCAAAAACTGTTTCTGTACAAATCAACCTCTCCTAATTTCAAGCCCAAATGGCACCAATCGCTGCTACCATTTCTCCAAGTGAAAATGAGTTCAAAAGCGTTATTGACTTCAAATCACTTAACAAGGAAGCAAATGTCCCAAAAGAATTCATTTGGTCATCTGGCGATTTGGTTGAAACCAGCCAAGGAGATCTTGATGTACCAATCATTGACTTAGGAGTTATATCCAATGGGGATGCTGCTGCTTTGGAAGCTGTTGCAAAGGTTGTGAGAGAGGCATGCATGAAGCATGGCTTTTTCCAAGTCACCAATCATGGAGTTGATCAAAAACTGATAGATGCTACTAATCAAGAATTTGTGTCCCTTTTTGAACTTCCTTTGAATAGGAAGGCTAATGCATATAAGGCTCCATGGGGTTACTCATGTGCTCATGCATCTAGGTACTCTGCTAGTTTGCCTTGGAAAGAGACATTTACTTTCCAATACAAACACTATGATCAATCTGAGACACAGATTGTTGATTTCTTCACTTCTGTTTTAGGTGATGACCACCAACATGCTGGGTAAGAATCACTCTTTTATTTGCCCTATTTTTATTATAATATTTCACAGCAGACTCTAGCAGACTTATTGACCTATTATTTTTTTCTTCTTAATTGGAATAGGTTGGTTCTCCAAAACTATTGTGATGCCATGAAGAAACTATCTGAAGTCATTATGGAGTTATTGGCCATTAGTTTGGGTGTGGATCGATTGTTTTACAAGAAGTTCTTTGAAGATGCTGAAACAATGATGAGGTGCAACTCTTATCCACCTTGCAGTGGCATCCAAGCTGGAACCCTTGGCACTGGTCCTCATTGTGATCCCACCTCAATCACCATTCTTTTTCAAAATCTTGAAGGTCTAGAAGTTTTTGTCGATGACAAATGGCTCGGTGTTCGTCCTCAACCTAATACCTTTGTCATTAACATAGGTGACACTTTTAAGGTATGCACACTAACCACTAATATCCATCTAGTGTTGTTGAACTTTTTCATTTAAGACTCTATTCAGAGTCGCACCAAACTAGGGTTTTAAGCAATGTTTTAAATAACAGTCGCAATCGCATATAGGCTTTTGCGATTTTGATCATCGCATGAACTCTGGTATAAACTCCTTAATGATTTATTTTTGGTTGACTTAGGCGTTGACTAATGGAGTATACAAGAGTTGTCTCCATAGGGTATTGGCTAACAAGGAGAAGGACAGAAAGACTCTGGCTTTCTTTATAAATCCCAAATCAGACAAAATTGTGAGAGCACCAGACAACATCTTGGGAGGACAAGAGCCAAGGAAGTATCCTGATTTCACATGGTCACAACTTTTCGAGTTTACACAAAAAAAGCATCGAGCTGATCCCAACACTCTTCCAGATTTCGTTGCTGAGATTAATTCCAACAAATCAAACATCTAGTTACTTTCGAGTTTGATGCTCAATAAAAAAGTTTGTTTTTATAATAATAATTGCTACAATTGTTGTTAGTCTTTTTTCTATGTAATGCGTTTATGTATTGAATCTACAACATAGAACAATGTATTAACATGCATATGGTTGATGTAGCTCATATGAGAATCTACTTTACTCATATAATATGAATAATAATTAAACTTTCTATCACTTTCTGTTGCAATTTATCATTTTCCTGATCAATCTTACATGACAATCACAAATAAAAAACTCAAGAAAATTTATTTTGAAAAGTGACACAAATTATTACATGCATGCATGCATATATAAATATATATTCTTATACTTATATATTATAAAAATAACTCTACATCTAAAATTACATTATATATTGTTGTATCCAAAAGAGAAGAAGAAAAAAAAAAACCAAACCTATAATTAGTTTGGCCTTACTCATTCATACCAATGGCCTATGGAATCGATCTGATCTTGCGGCCGTAACTGTTTTTGAATCGAACTTGACGAGAAAGGTAACGGAAACGGTTGATCATTGGGGACATAAGAAGGTTGAGAAATGAGATTTGTTGAAGTATATACACTATTATTGAAATGTTGATTATTTAGTTCATCTTGATTATGTTGTTGATGTTGTTGTTGATGTAGCCTTTGTTCAGATCTTTGTTGTTTAGGAACATTAACTTTCTCACCTTCGATATCTCTGTATTTTTGAAGATAAGATTTTAAAGGTTCCACATAATCTTCAAACCCTAATGTTGTAATAGCCCAAATAATATCATCACCATTGATAGTTTTTCTCTTTTCTCTTTGACATTTATCCGACGCTTCGCCGGTGACAAAACTTATGAACTCCGAGACACATTCTTGAACTGTTTCTTTTGCGTCCTTCGAGATTTTTCCATTAGCTGGAATCACTTTTTTCATTATTCTACCAACGTTTGCTATAGGAAGAAAACGGTCTTGTTCTTTATTGGTTGTTGCAGGGTTATTGTTATTGTGATTGTTGTTGTTATTGATTGTTTTTAAACATTGAGTTTCAGGAATTTCTGTGGTGAATCCATTTGGCAAAGTAGTATGAGTTTCATCATCCATGGGAAGTGATATGATATTAATTTTAATGAGGAATTAGGTTATTATTAAATTTATATTTTACATAATTGTATAGATAGATAAACTGAAAGTGAGGCATAGAAATAGGCAAGTAAGAAGGACCCTCAGACTCGCTCTTACTTGATGTAACTGCAAGGACCTAATCCAATTCCAACTTAGATAACTCTATTATTGACATTACAAAATTTTCTTTCTTTACCTATTGGATTGCCACACTTATTAACTTTTTGCTTTTTGTAATTATTATCTTTTTATTTTGGTGAAGAAAATGTTGTTGTAAACACATATTGGTTCACACATTTAATAACAAATTCAATTAGAATTTTTTATTTTATACCAAATTTATCCTTATTTTAAAATATATAACTTACACAATAATTTCTATTGAACTACTACTATCATCTTTCATATAACTCCCTACTAATAGCTTTTCACATAACTTTCATGTAAAATTAATATTAAATAAAAATATATCATTTATATTTATATGTGTACAATAAAAAAACGGACAGATGGGCACGCGAGTGCCCGTCTGGACGCTAGTATTAATAATGTTAAAAAAAAATTAATAACTTGTATGAAACAACCAACACAAAAAACTACAAAACTAAAGGCTAAGTCAAGCAAATAATAGAGGTAATAGAGGTCATTAAATAATTAACACTAGAAAGAAATATTGCACTTTCTCACATGATATTCACGTTATTAAGTTAAAAATCACGTCACTAACTAAGATTTGCGACGTGGATAGAGCACGTCGGAAAAGCAACTGTGAGAACTTTTTCTCACGTGAAATTCATGTCACTAATTAGTGATAGGGAATTCACGTGACAAACAACCTGTGAGATATTGAATTGAACTCTAGTATGATCGAAGTCTGTTCGCGAGTAATTCGTGTTGTAGTCGAAGTTTGTTCTAACATGCATTAGTCAATATTGCTAGGTTTGTTAGCATTATGAATTGGGTCTTACTTGTAAGCCTAACTATTTAACTTAGCTTGTACCCTAAGTTAACTTGTAATGGGTAATTGTTAAAAATCTCATTAGGTTAGTGTGTTAGTTTTCTTATAAATAGCATGATAGTCTCTCATCTTGTATAAGGAAACATAGGAAGATAAAATTCTAATTCAAGAGAGAGAGGTTATTTGTTATTCTTGTATACTTGTAATCTTGTTTGATTGATAAACGAAAGGATAACAGTTTATAACTAATCCTTGTTGTTTCTTTTTGTTCTTCTTACTTGTATTCTTTGTTAACCCTAATCCTTGTGTGTTTCTTGAATTTAAAGAAACCGTTTATATTTTGTTTCAAGATATTCTATTCACAATAAATTGGTGCAGTGAGTGTGGAGAAGATGACTTCAACAAAGTATGAGATTGAAAAGTTCACCGAAGTGAACGACTTCGGCCTGTGACGCTTGAAGATGAAAGTCCTACTGGTTCAACAGGGTTGTTTGGAAGCGTTGAAGGGAGTGGCAGCCATGGACGCCGCGTTAATGACAAAAGAAAAAACGAACATGATTAAGAAAGCCCACAATGCAATATTGTTGAGTCTTGGCGATAAAGTTCTTCGATAGGTATCAAAAGAGACTACAACATCGGGATTATGGGTGAAACTTGAAAGTTTGTACATGACAAAATCTCTGGTGAATCAACTCTATCTGAAGCAAGCCTTGTATTCATTCAAGATGAGTGAAGTAAAAGGGTTGGCTGAGTAGTTGAATATGTTCAACAAGCTGATTCTTGATCTTGAAAATATTGATGTGAGGATCGATGATGAAGATCAAACATTGTTGTTGTTGTGTACTTTGCCCAGAACACATGCTCAATTCAAAGAAATTCTCTTGTATGGAAGGGAGTCCCTGAGCTTTGAAGAAGTTCAATCAACCTTGTATTCTAAGGACTTGGACGAACGAAAGGAGCATAAACTTTGGACAGTGGGTGAAGGTTTTGCAGTTAAGGGAAAATTCTGGCGAAAGGAAGGTAAGTTCGACAAGAAGAAAGGTAAAAGTCAACAGAAGTCTTATAGTGGAGAAACATCTGGTATTCGATGTTATCACTGTAAGAAGGAGGGTCACACAAGAAAGGTGTGCCCTGAATGCCTGAAAGATCGTGGAGGTAATGGAAATGCAACCTTTGTTCAAGATGATTTCGACTCATCTGATGTTCTTGTGGTTTTAAGTGGCGACTCAAGAAAAGAGTGGATTATGAATTCAGGTTGCACTTGGCACACGACTCCAAATAAAGAATTGTTCGAGGAGCTATGTGATCAAGATGGTGGTCGGTGCTACTGGGAAACAACAAATCTTGCAAAATTGCAGGTATTGGATCTGTAAGATTCAAGCTTCGTGGTGAGTCAATAAGGTTATTGACTGAAGTTAGGTATGTACCTGACTTGAAGAGAAATTTGATTTCTCTTGGTGAATTCGACAGAAAGGGATATGTTTTTCAAGGAGAGAAAAGCATCCTAAGAGTCATGAAAGGGTCGAAGGAAGTCTTAAGAGGCGTGAAGAAACAAGGCTTGTATACCCTTGAGGATGAGGTTGTAAGTGGTTTGACAAATGTTGCATCCATGAAACTTGTGTCGAAGACAGAATTATGGCACATGAGATTGGGCCATGTCAGCAAAAGAGACATGGTCGAATTGGGTTTTCAAGAAGTAGATATGGCTTTCAAGAAAACTGATGATGCTGACGAAGAGCTGGAACAGGGAGAGATTCATGTTGAGGTGGAACATGTTGATGTTGAATTGCGTATCCCAGATGAAGTCGAAAAAGACACAGAAGATGTTGTCGAAGATAAGGAGAATGATAATGACTACCTGCTAGCAAGAGAAAGGTCGAGGAGAGTTATCAAGCAACCTCAGAGACTTGGGTATGAAGATCTTATACCTTATGCCTTAATCTCTACAAGTGAGGTTCTAGACAAAGAACCTAGAGTCTATAAGGAAGTTATGAGGAGTCAAAAGGAGACTGAATGGCTAAAGACCATGGATGAAGAGATGAAATCTCTTCATGATAACAACACCTGGGAACTGATCAAGAAACCTTCTGAAGCCAGGTTAGTCAGCTGTAAATGGATTTTCAAAGTTAAGGAAGGGATCGAAGGAGTGGCATCAAAGAGATACAAGGCAAGATTGGTCGCTAAGGGGTTCACTCAGAAAGAATGTGACGACTTCAATGATGTGTTCTCTCCTGTTGTGAAACACATGTCCATTCGAATGTTGCTTGCCACAGTGGCACCTTTCAACTTTGAACTGGAACAGATGGATGTGAAGACTGTGTTTTTGTATGGTGATCTAGATGAAACAATCATTATGAGGCAACCTGAAGGGTATGTCGAAAAAGGGAAGGAAGATTATAAGTGCAAGCTGAGTATATCCTTATATGGACAGAAACAATCTCCTCGATAGTGGAATAGGAGATTTGACAAGTTCATGACACGCATAAGTTTCATTAGAAGTCAGTTCAACCACTGTGTTTACTTCAGATTTCGACCTGGTAATTCATTTGTTATTTTGTTGCTTTATGTGGATGGTATTCTAATAGAAAGCAACAACTTCGAAGATGTAATGAGGGTCAAGGCTGAACTAAATAAGGAGTTCTACATGAAGGATCTAGGAGTTGAGTCCAGGATTCTTGGGATTGACATTCGAAGAGATAGAAAGCAGTAAAAATTATGCATATCTCAAGAGGCATACCTACAGAAGATTCTCGAAAAGTATGGTATGTCGAATTCAAAGCCTGTTATGACTCCGACAAACCCTCAATTCAAGCTGAGTATAAATCAGTGTCCCAACTGATATCAAAAGAGCTTATATGAATAGCATTCCATATGCTAATATAGTGGGTTCTTTTATGCATGTTATGGTCTGTACTAG